AAACATTTCTTCTAAAAGATGATTCTCATTTCACAGGTTTGCCAAACTAAGGGACTCTGCACAACGGATGAGCAGTGACGGACTCAACTCTCTCGTATATACTGTGGTTAAAATTACAGAACATCGACTATACACCCTCATCTCAGTCGATGTTAAGAAGGCGATGCCCAAAAGGCGTTAGGGTTTTTTAAATTCCAACATAGACACAAGGAACATTTTGATGTCAAACTAAAAGAAACATTTTACAAGTCTACTTAAAAATAATTGAAATTTTGGGAGCATTTCTTTGTGAAAATCCAAGACTGGATTCGTAAATTGAAAAATAGATTTTGTGCTCCTATACTAAACAGATTAATTCAAGATCAGTCAGATCAGGGTGCATCAAAGGAACTGAAAAATCCACCCTGGGCAAGGATTCACCAGTTCCTTTGATGCACCACGATCCAGCTGATCTTGAATTAATCTGTTTAGTAAAGAAATGCAAAATCTGTTTTGGATTTAAGAATTCAAACTTGGATTTTCCCAAAGAAATGCACCCTTATGTTGCAATGTTGGATTGCTCATAGCACTGTCTGTACATTGCACAAAGTTTGTCATTAAATAGGATATAAGTATCCCAGCGGTCATCAAGAAAAAACTTTGGCCTTTTGAACACCATGTAGTTTTTCATATACATGTACTTCATTAATCATACTTCATTACTTCATTAATCATATATACTGTTCGCTCCTACATCGATGCTTTTTGTCCCAAGAACCTCAGTGTAAGAGGTTACACGCCCAGAAATTCTATTGGTCAATCAAATAAATATAATTTTTGGTAAAAAATATGCTTAATATATATTTTAACAATTAGATTAGGAGCCCAAGATTTCTATCAGGTGAGAGTTGATGAGGATTCAGCTCAAGTCAACTATCATGCATAGAAATCGACTGTGAATAATCTATTAAATAAATATTTTTGTTTTAGCATAAAACTACTAGTCATTCAAAACTTGACTAGTAAATTATCAAAATCCAATTCAAACACTGCGAAAACACGAGGAGGCAGCTGCCATTTTGTCAACCGCTCACTACTAAGCTACTCACTATCCACAACAGAATCAATAGTGAGTAGTGTAGCCCTTAAGAGATCGCATTTGTCATAAAATAAATTATGACAGGACCTGTCAAGCATGTGATTATAATTTGTGTGATGACATGCCCTCCTATTTGCTTTATAATTCTGTAATTCTGTTAGGAAAATATTCCCAGACAGGGATATTCACTGTGTGGCAGGTTCAAGCATAAAATAATAAAATAGAGGGCTAGTGTGTGATTGTATGAGGGTATGTAAACATGGAATGATACTTGTGACCTAGCTAGAGAATTATGCACAAGTCACATGTTTACACCAAGCCTCATGTAAACACAAGTGTGTCTGTGCTCAGGTTCTCCCATACTTGCCAACTGCAAGAGATTTTCTGTTAATAGTGGGGCGCACTGACATTTTTCTCCGACTCATTGATTCTTAACTGTGCTATTCATTGCATTTTTTACACGACTAAGTTAGTTCAGAGGGCCAATAACTAAAATCTATTACCAGTCTAGGGTTCTCGAAGCATTGGACCGGGCACTGTTCTAAGTGATCCTGCAAGATCTCTCTTGAAGATTTTCAGTTAGTTTGAGTCTGTAATAACTCTCTTATTAATTAACAAGCTTGCTCGAGACCATCAGGGAGAATATCAGCCCTCGGTCTTTTTTGTATGGATGTCACTGCACTGATATTCTTCCAGTATGGTCTCATGCTTGGCTAATAAGATACATATCTTGACTGTTACCCTAGCCAATTTTCCAGGCATGTCATCTTGTAATTCTGTACAACTGCAGTACACTTAAATAAAATTTTTACAATTTATTGTAACATGCCACACATTTTGATGCAACTTTTGTTACAACAAAATGCAAGACTACTAGTTGGACAAAACATTGCCTACTGAAGAGTTTTATAACTAGAGCGAAATGACAGGTACATTTTTTAGCTATTATTTATTAGTTCTGTTAGAAAGCTATTATTTTACTGGTCCAGTTAACAATGACGTTAGCGAAAGTTTGGTTACCCATCAGTCTGAGTACACTACAAGTACACTTCAAGTACTGCGGAGCTTTAGTCTAATACCCTTCTCTAAAAAAATACCTGTAACAAATACCCTTCTCTAAAAACCCGTTATTACTATTTTAAATATCACATGTAAATTAATTTGTTCATATCTAGCATCTCTCTACCGCAGAATAAAAATAGCAGTATCCCAGTTAACATGTGCTGGAAAATGTATTTTTTATCTGCAAAGTAAAAAATATTTTTAAAGCACCTAACAAATGGGATCACAGGAAGCCCACTTCAAAACGTACAAGAAGTTTAATAGATCCAGCTGACAGCAGTAATACTAATACTGTAAAAGTTTACTTGTTTTTCATGAAAGAAGAGCTGGCATCATTAAAGAGGACATTGTAGGATTTGTTTTGTTCTTGTGCATTTACTAAATGTTGCAAACAATATGCAAACTTTAATGACATGTACTCAGCCCATCAGCAAAATTCTATTTTGTCCAAAGAGTGCATTAAATTTAGAGAAAACAAATTTGCCCAGGCATGCTGAATATCATATACAATATTATTTAAGTTTACTTTGAGAAATCATTAAAATTAATATT